CAGAATGTGCTTTGCAATTTCAGTTACCTTGTTTACTTAAACAAGTACAGCGAGGCACAGTAAAGAATATTTAAAGGGGACAGGAAAAAACTTTTCCTCCGTGCACTCTTTTGAATTTTTTTTATTTCCCAGGAGCCTTCTGCATGAGAAGAGTTTCATCAGGAGAAAATCGCAACCTTAATGAATATGGTCCTCTAAGAGAAAGAATTTTGAAAAAAAGATTTGTGTGATGTAAACTTCGGACCTGTCCACTCCTATGTAATGCTGCTATTCTTCAGCTGTGTGGGAATGTAATTTACTCTTTAAGTTGGGCTGAAAAGCTTTATCCTTTTGAATTGGACATAAATGTACGCTTATCAGTTTTGGGTTGATTTGGTATACTTGCACAACATAAACACTGATGTTCTGAATTGAGATTTGGCAAAGAATGGTTTACTTTGCTATTGAAAGTATATGCCATCCAATGCTCCCTGAACTATATGCTGCTATCACATACAGGACAACAGACAGAGCTGTGGTTGGTCACAGTAGGTAAAAAAAAAAAAAAAAAGTGCCTTTATAGTAAAAAAAAAACCCAAACCAAAACAACCTAAAAGGTAACTGAAATTACAGAAAAAAAAAAAATATCATAAGAAGTTAATTTCCAGCCATCTCAGTTAGCTCCCCTTTAATTTTTCTGAAGGAGGAAATAGCTATAGAGACAAAAAAGCTAAGTGAAGTTAGCTGAAGTACAGCAGACGCTTGACAGGAGAGATGTATTGCAGCTTCTTTCCATGAACTACCTTTCTACTTACATAGACACCCGCTCCTAACGTTGATAAGCCCACAATAAGGACAAAAACAGAACTATCGCCTTTGCCCCCGGGCACACCAGAGCTAGCCACTTGTCTGCTCATCTGCAGTTTTATGGGAACATTCCAGCGCTGCAACAAGTTGCCTAAAGGAATACAATTTATTAGAGAAAAACACAAAAAGACTGTCAATACAAAGTTATGTTTTGAAATTTAGAGACCAAGTCATTTCTGACACCAAGTAAACAAGCTACTTGTTTGAAACGCCCAGTACCACATCTGAGTGACTGCAGTGAATTATTCTCCGCCACAACAAACGGCTCCAGGCAGTTGTGGATACCAAAACCATCTGTAAGATCAAAGAGTAACTGAACAAATTAATAACAGGAACATCTACGAGGAAGCTAGAAAGACTCTCCAGCTGAAGGAGCCTTCAAGCTATGTATGGCTGGGAGAGTACATCAGGCATGCACGTGTAGTGTGCATTTGCTGTTCTTATGCCCTTCTCCAGGTCTCTTCTGTCAGAGGTCCAAAGATGCACTTTGCTCTGCCACGTGCAAGCAGAGGCTAACATAACCTTGTTAGGACAAGCGGTAGGTATGGTTCTACCAGCAAGAAGTCCCTCTGCCAACACAGCTTATTCCACTGAGGTGAACTACCAGCACAAACAGGCTTCTGCTGACAGAAAGGGCATCCCAAATGAGGAGGAGTAGCAACGCTTGCCAATCCACATGAAGGCATCTACCAGCGTGCAAGCAACACAAGGAGCGCATCTAGCTGAACAGCTATATAACGTGGTGGCTTCTTTTTTTTTTTTTTTAAAACTGCAGTTTAAGCACAGACTCCTGCCTGTCCCAATCAGATCTCTAAGCGGAGCGGTCACGGTGAGGGCTCCGAGCGCTGTGGATAGTGCAGCCGGCCCAGCTGGAGCTGCCAGCGGTGGTTGGGCTCTTCTGCGGAACCTGCTCCCACCCGGCGCAGAAAACACCTTCTGCCTCCTCCGAAGCTCAGACAACGCGTGAACTGCTAGACCCGTTCCATCTCTTGGCCTAAACGCACCTTATTTGTGATATAAACCCGTAGCAAAGCCACACGCATCCAAACGGATACGAATACGCTAAACAGCTCCATCTAACTCACGCTTTGCCAAAACGTGGAAGTTTTCCCTCCCGTTCCCGGGAGCCGGGCACCGATCTGCGCCGCCACCGCCCTGGCTCCGTTCCATCCCCCAAGGCCACTTCCCACCCACAAGCCTTCTCCGGGCCGGCTGGCGGTGGAGCCGAGCAGCCCCGGCCGCCCGGGCCCCC